TGTTCCAGGGGCTGAGCCCAGAAGCTCCAACTCCGGTGGAGAGGCCCATTTGTCAAGCCCCGTTCATTCTGTGAATTCCCTGCAGAGCGTCTCTTCTGCTCCTAGTGCAAGGAGTGGCCTGGGTCCCAGCTGGCCCCCCCCCCTGCCCCCACCCCAGGCTCCCCGGGCAGAAGCTGGGCCCCTTCAGCCTCTCTGCCCTCTCCTCAAGGCAGCCCGTGCTCCCCTCCCCACACCTGGGCTTGGTGCAGTGGACCTAACTCCCGCCTCCCTTGACTGGGTCTGCCGGTCTGGTGGGGGCGCTGGGCAGGGAGCCCAAGTCCCAGGGCGCAGGCCCACCTGGCCCTCAGGTGAGCAGGACAGGCAGGAGGGTCTTCTCTCCCCACAACAGTGCCCTGGGCAGGCTGGGCAGAGGGACACCCCTGCACCCCACTCCCACCTCCCCAGCAGAGCCACTGGTGCCGGCCAGGGGCCTCCTGCATCCGTCCAGGGTCTCCTGTGCCCAGGTGGGCACACTCACTCTTCTCCCTGCCTGTGGCGGGTCCCACTGCCCCCTGCCCCAGTGCTGGGCTCTGCAGGCCCTGGAGCCACACCGCCCTGCCACGTCCACACCCCAAACAGGCTGGGACCCGTCTCCAGGCTTCGGGGTGAGGGCAGGGGCCGAGGGCTCCAGAGAGGTCTGGAAGGCCCTGGGGGGAGCTCCCCGGATGCTCGGGGCAGAGCAGGGCCGGGCTGCCACGCATGAGGCCAGAGGGGTGCCCGGGACCCACTGCCTGCCCGCACCCCAGCTGCACCCCTTCCCACCACAGTGGGCAGCCACGTGGAGACACGGGCCCACGCTGAGGAGCGGCTCCTGAAGAAGCTCTTCTCCGGCTACAACAAGTGGTCGCGGCCCGTGGCCAACATCTCGGACGTGGTCCTTGTCCACTTCGGCCTGTCCATCGCCCAGCTCATCGACGTGGTAGGTGGGGCCTCCGGACTGGGACATGGTTCTCAGGGAGGTGGCTGTTGAGGCCCCAGTGAGGACTGGCCGCGTGTGTCCGGCTGGTGGCCAGCGGCCCACCGCGCCCAGGGAGCAGCGTCAGGACAGTCAGCACCCTTGCAGCGCCGGCCCGGCCTCCTTCCTGTCAGCGTAGGGCACCTTCAGGAGAGAACAGGAGATGCCCGGGGACGGGGGGTGGGGGGGGGGCACCTGCAGGAGAGAACAGGAGATGCCCGGGGACGGGGGGTGGGGGGGCTTGCCAGCCCGGTCAGAGGCTTCTGCAGGCGAGGCCGGGCAGGCACTGCGGTGTTCTGGCAGCCCTGACCTTGGGCCTGGTTAACCCTGGCCGGCCCCGGGGGCCCGGGGGG